GGTCTTGGGGGTTTAGGGGTTTAGGGACTTGCCAGGCGAAGTCGCTGGGTGCGAGTTTTAGGGTTTAGGGTCTAGGCTATAGGAGCTTATAAACCCTAAAGCCCTAAAATCCTAGAAACCCTATGAACCCTAAAACCCCTAAACCCCTAAACCGTAAAAACCCTAAAACCCTAAACCCTAAACCTTATAAACCCTAAACCCTAAACCCTAAACCTTAAACCCTTAACCCTAAACCTTATAAACCCTAAACCCCTAAACCCGCTGCCTCGCTCAGCTTCGCCAGCCTTCGCAGGCCGCCGGCTGGCAACGGTCTTGGACTCCACCTCCTCAGGGAAGGGCTTAGGGTTTAGGTTTAGGATTTAGGGTTTAGGGTCTAGGGTTTAGGGTTTAGGGTTTATGAGTTTAGGGTTTAAGGTCTAGGGTTTAGGGTTTAGGGTTTATGGGTTTAGGGTTTAAGGTTTAGGTTTGGGGTTTAGGTGTAGGGTTTACGGGTTTAGGGTTTAGGTTTAGGGTTCAGGGTTTAGGGTGTACTATAGGGGCCTGAAGAATGGGTAAGAGTATGCCGTTATAGTTTAGCTCCTATATGACTAAGGCATATTGTAGGAATGGGCTTAGGATTTGGAGCTTGCCGGTGAATTCCTGATTTAGTGTTTGTCTTTGTTTCAGGTTTGGGGCTTGGCAAGGACATGCCTCACCAGCACAGCCCCTAATTGGGACAAGTCAAGTGCGTATGGCTCCACTAGAGCACTGCAGAGGCCTCGAAAACTATTTCCGAGCGGATACCCCTGAAACTTAAATAGCCCTAAACTGCCGCGGAGCAATTCCCAAAACGCTGAACCCCAAAACTCCTAAACCTTGCTTTCCCAGACTCTTACAATCCGAGCCTGAACCTCAAACCTACTCCACACGCCCTTCCTAAACCCTAAAACATGCCCTAAACCCTGAACCCTAAACCCTAAACCTTAAACCCTAAACCCTAAACCCCTTAACCATGCACCTCCAGTGCAAGTGGAGCCTTCCCGAACCACCACCTTGCTCGTTTTTTTGGTGTGGCAGCGCGAGCGGGTGGAGGGGGTGGTATCTAAGTTTCTGGGGTTGAAGTGAAGGTCTTCGTTTTAGGCTTTATGATATGGGGTTTAGAGAGAAATCGCAAGAGATTTGAGGGTTTAGGTTCGAGATTTCGTTGAAGGTTTCGGTTACAGATTTTCTGGCATGGGCTTAGGAACAAGACTACGCGAACGGTTTGCAGGGGCTTGATGATCTTGAGGGGCTCCCCAAGATAGGAACGGGGCCAGGACTCCACGTCGTTGCATGAGAGCCGAGTTCGTACTGCCCACCGCTTTCTGCTAGCTCAGGGTGCTGATGTCAACACATGCTCAACTCTCGACTCTCTGGAAGGTGTTGCTGAAGAAGGCAGTGCAAACATGGTCCGACAGCCCGGTCAATTTGCGAAGATTTTGTATCTTGAGCCAGCCGGGGGTGGTCTAGGTATTCGAGTTGATGTTACCTACACCGTATATATCCCCTTCTCCCTACACCAAACCCCAACCTTACACATGCACCCGGACTGCAGGAATTCTGCAACGAATGGCATGGACACCTAAACAGCCCAAGTCACCCCTTGCTTACTTCAGGAAGGCCTTTGAACCAGAGCCAAGAGCCTCATCAAAGCTGGAGCGCAGCATGGTGCAACCTTTCTATAAAGGCCGATCACACCTTGTGAACAAAGAGGCACAGGTTCAGGTAGTCGTAGTTAGGATCTCGGCGGGACTTCTCCACCCATCAGCACCATACTACTTTGTACTATATGGGTACTTCTCTAAATTGGGGTACCTTTTCAAGTGCTTTTTTTTCTCCGGGTGCCGTACTATTTTGGGGGCCTAAACAGGGACCCTAATTTAAAATTTAGAGAACTACCCATACCCTAAACCCTAAAACCCTAAACCCTAAACCCCTAAACCCTAAACCCTAAATCCTAAACCCTAAACCCAATATGGAAACTCAGGATCGCCAGGGCGAGTCACCGAAGCTGGCGTGCGTCAGGCGGCGCCTCTGAGCAAAGTCCGTAGCCTCGCCTCGGACTTCTTAAGGCACACCCTACATCATAACCAAGGCTAGTTTGAGCGTAACTCTGTTTAGGGTTTAGGGTTTCTTGACTTACCGCAGACCGGTTGAAGTCTTTTGAGCCTTTGACTGAGCCCCTTTTGAACTAGTGCAAATGTCGACTACAGCGTGCACCCACACCGCATGGAGACACTGTTACTGGCGTCTGAAACCTCTATGTTAGGTGGAACCAAACCAAACGTTCAAGCAAGCTTCCATCCAGCGCACCGCAAAACTGCGCCATAAAGTGTACATGCAGACAGGGTGGTATGGGCCGTTTTTCTAAGTTAGTGCAATTTTGTGGTCCCCAAACGAGTACGGCACCCTTATAAGAAGGACCTCAGACGGGACCCTAATTCAAATAACATCCCATATGCTTCAAAGGCTGCCGAACGAATCACGTCTGCAGGATCATGGGCCTACGCACATGAGCCAAGCCAGAAACTTGCCGTCTGTGTTAGTCTCTGTTTCCACGTCTGAAACAAGGGCCAAAAGCCTCTAAACCCTTATAAACCCTTATAAACCCTAAACCCTAAACCCTTAACCCTTAACCCTAAACCCTAAACCCTAAACCCTAAAGCCTAAATCAGTGACACGAACACTGTATCAACTCAATCCCAAAGTCGGAAAGCGCACCGAGGCGGCATCACGTTCACGGCCGCTTTCCCTGGCTGCGTAGCTTCCACGAGGCGAATCGCGACCTCCATGGCCAAAGCCTCGGTTTAATGTTTAGGGGTTTTCGAGTCTTAATTTACGGCGCTGAGGGTTTTCAAACTTAAGATATACAGACAGAGAGAGAGAGAGAGAGGAGAAACAAAGAGAAACAGAGAAAATACACATTCTACCATTTTGAAACTCATTTAAGCTGCCCTCATTCTGCAACTTCCGTCACAAGAACCATGCCACCCTGTAAAACTCCCTGCAACCCCGACAGCCGATAGCCCTAAACCCTACCTTACCTGCCCGTTAGCAACCGACTCAGCGAAAAGGCCGTGACAAGCCTTAGAATCCTTAGAAGCCCGCCCCTAAACCCTAAACCCTAAACCCCAAAACAAACAACGAAAGGCTCCGCCCAGCCTCCGCCGTGGCGGCTCCCTGCTTGTCTCCCAGACCCAGAACGGCCGGATTCCTCGAAACTTTAGGGTTTTGGGTTAAGGCTTGAAATCTAAGGTCTCTATATGATTATATAGGGTCTAGGGTTTAGAGTTTGGGGTTTAGCGTTTAGGGTTTTGGTTTTAAAGCCAAACTTCGGGCTTCTATCAGGGTGTACGGGCCTCAAGGAGATTGTAAAAGCGCTCTATAGGCTTGCCCGTATTTCAGGGTCTGGGGTCGTAGGCCAACTGGGGGGCTTTGCGGCTTCATGTCCGGAGGGTCTCTGTGGAATGAATCGGTAGGGTTTAGGGTTTAGGGTTTAGCATGAAACAGGAAACAGGAAGGCCATATCAACTATTCTTACTTTCCCCAAGCCACGGAAATAAAAGGTTAAACTTTCAGATTACTACTAAATTATAAGAACCCAAAAAGTTTAAAGGTTGGGTATTGGGGAACTACGTAAGTATTGCTTGTTGACCTTGCCCTGCGACACAGGGGCAGGGTTCGGCACCGTATAGCGCTCGAGGCTCTACCTTGTGGTTCAGGGACCCTGACAGGGTGCTTCAGTCTTGACAGACAGCCCGATTAGGATTTTGACCGGGTGCTGATTTCGAGATATGCGAATATGCACGGTCTGGACGAACAAGATGATGCTTCTGAAGGCTCCCATGTCGTTACAATGGCTGTGCAGCGGCCTTCAGAACCTGAAGCCGCAAGTCTTGGGGGTTTCATTTTTTTTATAGACTTGAATAGTTTAGCCATGTGGACGGTTCTGCTGGTACCTGTCACAGAAGCCAGGGCTGCATTACTGTTTCAGGGCTTCTCGCAGTGAGGGGCTAGGCATCACGATCCAAACACGCAAAGCTCTCATATTTAGGGTGATGGAGCAAAGCAGTAGCAAGCCGTCACACGAGTTACACTCTGTAGCGCACACTTTGTCGTGATACCTGTGCCGGCTACCCTCCAGTTTGGGTGCCGCCGCCGGCCAATGATCAACAATGCTTGAGGGCACAGGATTAAGAGCCTCGGCCGCAGCTGTGTTGACGTCCTGTCTGAGAGCAAGTGGCCGTATCAAAAACGCCAGCGCAGGTCGCAAACCCATGCCGCGGGTGCCAGCTCGGACCTTTGCAATCACACAAGGCTGCTGCGGGACAGCTGCAAATGCTAATCTCATTGAGCTGCACTATACTATTTCTTCAACAACGTTGCTTTGGCTTGCTGCTTCTGATGTTGTTCTTGGTGAGGTTTTGCTGAAGTGGCAGTGCAATTGTGTTGCTGCTGGCTGCTGCTGCTGATGGGCCATGTGATTGTGGTTGTTGTTGTTGCGGTTGTTGTTGATGATGCTGATGTTGCTGTTGTTGGTGGTGGCGGTGGGTGTTGCTGTTGCTCCTGCTGCTGCCACTGCTACCGCTCAGTGGTCTTGAGCCACCGGCAGTAATCTGCTTGTCCTCATCGCCAGGCATCAGACTCGGCGCAGCGAACGCAATGCAATGCAACACTGCTCCTGCTGCGGCGGCTACTGCTACTGCTTCTGCGATTGCTACTGCTACCGTTCCTCTTGCTTACTGTTTCCACCGACGATGTGCCACGTTGTTCATTGCGTTGGTGATGGTGTTGTTGCTTGCTGGTGATGTTGTTCTGGTTGCCGTAACCTTTCCTGTTGCTGCTCCTGGCTGCTGCTGCTGCTGCTGCTGCTGCTGCTGCTCTTGTTGGTGGTACCCTGAACCCTAGTCCCTAAACCGCCACCAAGAAACGTAGAGTACAGCAGCCGCCGCAGCGAGATGTGCGACAAGTTGCCGACCTCCGAGCACCAACTCCTGCAGGACTTTCGGGCGGAAGGGCGCCAAGAAGTAGGGTTTTGAGCTTGGGGCTTTTGCGCCCAACACTTGGGTCAACAGTTTAGGCTTTAAAGCTACGGCTTTTTTGGGGAGCTGGTGTTTAGGGTTTTGTGGTTGAGGGTTAAAGATTTCGTCTGCGTAGGGTGTTTTAATTTGCTTTTGCGCGGTCTGGGTGAGGGTTCTACGGGCTTTCTTGTTCCGCGGATGTGGGCTGAGGGTCTCAAGGTCTAGTTCTAGGGTTCAGGTTATTACCTTCAAGGAGGCAACAGGGATGAAAGAATCTACGGTTTTAGATTTTTGTGTCCCCTAAACCCTAAACCCTAAACCGTCCCCTGCAAGGCTGCCAGTCTCAACGCCTTGACCCTTGAATTGCTCACCCTAGCTGCTGAGATCCTTCGTTCCCAAATGCCACCATCCTACATGATGTTTTCTTCTTATGGTATAGGGACATATGTAAATATATATATATATATATATATAGAAAGACCCTTTGAAAACCCAACGCAACACGCATAAACCCCTGCACCTTGAACCTCACATAAAACCCTGCGAAAACAGATCCTGCTCGCCTCTGCCTCGCGAATGCTCCACTGCTCAAGCCGATCGCTTCGGCGGTCCACGGCCTTTTCAGGTTTAGGGTTTAGGGTTTAGGGTTTAGGGTTTAGGGTTCAGTTTAGGGCTCATCGTTTTGTTTCATATGTGCAAACCACGAGCACAACCTTAATTTCACGAGTATGTGTAGGGTATAGCCGTGGAGCCCAGAGCCCTTCTGATGGGCTTGTGTTAGGATTAGAGGTGGGCATTCTTCTAGCAGAGCTACATGTGCTTATTACCCTAAACCCTAAACCCTAAACCCTAAACCCTAAACAGTGCTTATTCTTCCAGCCTTCTAGCCTCTAGAGGGGTCTGGGTTCCCTGGATAGGGAAGCTGTCTCCCAGGTCCAGTTCAAGCCTTCGGCGTTGGAGTTTGAGGGTCAGGGACTTCGGAACCAGGGCTTAGTGGCTTTGGGCTAGGGTGACGGATAGCTTGAAGTACGGGAGAGTGTCGACGCCCTTACCCTAAATGACGTCGACGCCTGCACGGCTTCAGCTCAGGGGGATCTTCATAAATGCCCTAAACCCTATACCCTAAACCCTAAACCCTATACCCTAAACCTTAAACCCTATACCCTACAGGCGAATGCCCAGGTTCAGGGCTTAGCGGCTAAGGTAGCTGTGGCAACGGCAAGGGAAGACCCCAACTCGACTTTCAGAATTGGGTGTTCTTATACTTGTTGAGGGTTTAGGGTTTAGGGTTTAGGGTTTATCAGGGTTTAGGGTTTTAGATTAGGGTTTAGGGTTTAGGGTTTAGGGTTTATCAGGGTTTAGGGTTTAGATTAGGGTTTAGGGTTTAGGGTTTAGATTAGGGTTTAGGGTTTAGGGTTTAGGGTTTAGACGGGTTTAGGGTTTAGATTAGGGTTTGGGGTTTAGGGTATTTAATATAGGGGCCTAAAGACTTACCTAGACTATTGTGGGGGCTCCTTATTGTAATTATAGTGTAACGGGCCCCAAAACCCTATTCTAATTATTAAGGCCCCTATATTATGAGCCTCACCACAGCAATATTGAAAACAGCTACCTGCTTATTTAAGCGCGGTTGCAAGAGTTCGGCACAGTGCATGTGACGGCAAGGGGCTTGGACGACCGCATTGATGTACTCAAATCCTGTTCCCAGAATGTTCTTGAATGTAGGGCTACGTTGAAACCGGAAGACAAGTGACGGCCTAAACCCTACACTTTAAGCCCTAGCACAAGACGAACCTCAGTTTCCAACCCCCAACCCGACCAACAAGATAACCCTCAACCCTAAAACCTTAAGGTGGACAATAAACCCTTTAAACAAAAATCCTATAAAACCCAAAACCCTGAACCCCACAGAGCTCTGCGGCCCTCCAGGTTAAACCCTGAAGCCCGCAAGTGAACAAGGGGAGGGGTTTTCGCTGCAGCATTAGTAAAACTCCCGAACCTGCCGGCCTAACTTGGGTTTACCCATAGGCCCCATAGTAGTTCCTTTTTGGGGCTCATATCTAGAATCCTATAAGGTAATCCCAAAAAGGAACTACTATGGGGCCTATGGGTATAGGGGTTTAGGGGGTGGAGCGTCAGCTATGCGGATTTTCCGTGGACCTCCAAATGAGCCTAAACCTCAACCCTAAACCCTAAGCCCTAAACCCGACGTAGGTACCAATGGCATACTTGGAGCCCCCCGAATTTGTGGCCGGTGAGCTCCATCCATCCCCCAAAGCTTCACAGGGTTTAGGGTTTAGGGAAGTTGTGGGGTCCGCTGTGTACTAAACCCTAAACCCTAAACCGTATGGTTGGGCTCACGCATGACGGACCTGGTGATCTTTGCCGGTCTCTGACATCCTGTGGACTACGGACGGTTTAGGGTTTAGGGTTTCTAGACCTGAAACCCGAAGCCCTAAACCCTAAACCCCTAAACCCTAAACCCTAAACCCCTAAGCCCTAAAACCCTACACCCTAAACCCTTAACCCTAAGCTCACAAACGCCCTGCCCCGAGCCATGCTTCGTGCAGGGACTGCCTGGTAAATCGAAGGGTGCAGCTCATACAACCACAGCTGGATGTAGGCCTCAGTAACATAGGGGCCTTAGTAATTGGACTAGGGTTTTGGGGCCCGTTATGTAGTATAATTAGGAACCCCCAAAATAGTATTGGCAATTACTTGGGCGGCTATTATTATCTGCCCCGAAAAGAACCCTCAGCAGCTTGGCTTCTGGTTTAGGGCTTGGGGTTTATAAGGCCCTTTTGCCCTAAACCTTGCTGGTTGCGGTATTTGAAGTTTAAGGTGCCGGATTCAAATCCGCATGTATCTGTTATTTTTCAGCGGTTCTGGGAATTACTACGAGGGTGACTAGAAGGAGGAGTCACATACGGGTCCTGCAGGGGTAAAGGCTACTCTAAGGGGTTGGAAGAAGGGCCACTGTAATGGTTATGGGGTGTCGGTCTGTCCATCCTTCCGTCCGTCTGTCTGTGTGACACAACAAGACAGATAGTACTCATCATCATCATCATCATCATCATCAACCCGTAGAGAAGCCCCCCGCTGAGAATTCAATCTTCTCCTAGACCGTGGGCGCAATCCATTTTCAACCGGCTTGCGACGCTACAACCCAGAAAACTAAACGCTAAAACCCTACACACTGGGCACAATCTAGACAAACGTGCTACGAAGCATAGTCTCCGGGCGCAGGAGAGCCCCAGGAAATGCTGCGCTCTAAGCCCTAGTCGCACAGAACACAACCGAAGATCCACTTGAGGGTTTAGGGTTTAGGGCTTAAGGTTACACAGCCGAAGATCCACCTTAAGGCCTTAGGATTTAGGGTTTGGGCGTAAGGTTCCACAGCCGAAGATCCACATCTCACCTAAAGCCCTCACCACATCAAGCCTTTAGGCTGCCTTGGGCAGATCGGCCCTCGATTCAAAGCACGCACCCCGGGTCGAAGCAATGGTCATAAAACCACAAGCCTTAAGGCAAAACCCTAAACACCCCGAACTAGATAAACCCTGTCGTTACGAACACCCCAAGTCCTGACCCAGAGATTTGAAACCTAGATAAACACATCACAAACGCCCCAACCCTGTACTGACCGATCCACATACAAACTAGGATTTCAGGGTTTAGGGGTTTACCTGTATCCCCAAACCCTACAAAATAGTAGGCTATGAAGTTACGACGCCTTAGTTGTAGGGCATAGGTTTGGGATTCCCAAGTAAACCCTAAACCCTGGGGTATGTCCTTGAAATCTCTTGGCTTCTCCGAATCAAAAGCCGACAGAAGGCTACAGAGTCCAGCGGCTAAGGGCTTACGGATTAGGGTTGCGAAAAAAGATATACAAATATATACACACATGTATTTATCTATTAACTGATTTACCCATTTCTGCATCTATCTATCTACCTACCTATCTATCTATCTGTCTATCTATCTATCTGTATGTGTACTTGTATATGCAAGAGTTAGGGTTCAGGCCCCTGACGCCGGGATGCCATAGTGGTTCGAAGTGCTTCGACGAGTGCCGTGCCATCCAAATCTCCCTTCACCTGGTGAGAGCGCTTTCGTGGACGTTTAGGGCGTAGAGTGAAGGGTCTTTGGATAGGGAAAAATTAGGGGTACCTTATCTAGGGGTCCTTATAATGAGGATCCTACGATTTAGGGCACTATATATGGGTCCCCTATTTTCGGAACCCCCCCTATAGAACTTAGGACTGACAGCTGTTCCGGCTCTCCCTTTAATTGTCTGCGAGAGCCTCTCTAAACGAAGCGACAAACCAAGTCTTCAATCGTTCGAGCACAAACTTTAACATTTACTGGCTCTCCATACCGCCGCCCTGAACTCCAGACCCAATCCCAAGACCCCAAAACCGCAAATCGGCAGAAGACACCTCGTCAGGGCCGTAGGGTTTAAGATTTAGAGCGAACCAAAACAAGAATCTTTGTGAGAGTAGACATGTGCCTGCACTGCTGCCTCTCCGCAGAGACCCCTTGCAGCAGTTCAAGTTCGCGGAGCCTCCCTTCATAACAACCCTAATGCCATAAAAAGTAGGGTTTTGGGGTATATTATACTTTAAATNNTAATCAGGAACTCCCAAAATAGTATTCATAATTGTTTAGGCTCCTACAGCAGGAATCGAAATACCCCCTCGACACAAAAAAGGCTCAAGGTTACCAGCTCAGTTACTAAAAGACCTCGTTACTCTTTGCAGCCACATACCCATAGGCCCCATAGTAGTTCCTTTCTGGGGTTCATATTTAGAATCCTATAAAGTAATGTCAAAAAGGAACTACGATGGGGCCTATGGGTAGAAGGCCTCCGGGACACGAAGATGGAGCTCCGAAG